AAATTAAATAAATAATTATCTACTATAAAAATTTACCAGAGGTAGTCTAGCAGTTAGCATACCACTTTACTTCCGATAATCGCAGGTTCGATACTTCGGAGGGTGCATTTGTATTCGTAATTGTATGAGTATGATTGTTCATATCATTGTCTTGCTGATTTATATGTAGCTTATGTATGTATTTACAAAAAAAATCTATGTATTTATATCAGTTGTTTAGGTCTTAGTACCCACAATACAAGCTTTGAGGTGTGTCCAGGGTTATTTTTTTATTATTTATTTATTTAATTTATAAAAACTTTTTACAGACTACCTCTAGATTTTTTTTATAGTATATTATTATTTATTTATAATCATATCTTACTAGTGTTGCTAGCTGACCCGCTCTTTGTTGTTTGCGTCATTTTTACCCCGGTTTTAGCTACATTTTACACTGCTGCTCTCCCGAAATAGGTGAAACTGAGGTGCCCACGCAGACTGCTTTTACAGTCAACCTCTGGCAATAGAAAAAAGAAAAGATATGTCAGAATATAACTGGCGTCGGCCTGATGGAAAATCGTAAATATCGCAAATAGCTGGGTGACTTTTACAAACAAATGAATCATTACACATCAAAGTCTTGTATTCAAAACTCAACAGCGCATCTCTAAATGTTTGTTTATTTATTTAGAAAGCTTTATTGTACAGAACAAAAGGTATATTTTACATACACAATATTTCAGACACGTCTAATATTCGAGGAACAACGCCTACAGGTAAATTCTACACTGACTTGGTAGTCTAGTGGTTTAGAATATCATATATACTTTCGATGGTCGCGGGTTCAATTCCTCGCATGATTTTGTATACAAGAGTATGATTATTTATTTTGATTTGGTCGTTTTCTATGTACAGTATGTATGTATTTCCAAAAAAAAATTATATGTCATACAATTATCTAGTAGCTACCTACAGCACAAGCTCCGCTTAGATTGGGGTTAGATGGCGCTGTGTGAATTGTTAAGGGTTATTATTGTTATATATGAATTTTCTTGGTAAAGTCTATGGTCAAGCGCATTATATTCTATGTATATTATGTATTTACAAAAAATCAAATCATAGTATCTACTATATTACATAGTATAAAACAAAGTCGCTGTCGCTATCTGTCCATCCCTATATGTATGCTTAAATCTTTAAAACTACGCAACAGATTTTGAAGCGGTTTTTTTTTAATAGAGAGTGATATTATATATAAACCTTCATCTGGAGGTTTATATATAATACAAGTAAACCCGTGCGAAACCGAAGTGAGTAGCTAGTTATTTATATTATTTTTTTTAATTACACACTCTTATGATATGTCAAATCTACCATCAATTCGAAATGCTTTTGAACTAAGAAGAACTCAGCTCTTATTCTTTTCAAATGAACTTGTATACTTGATTTCAAAAACAGATTCATTTTTAACTTCAATTACAGAGACTGTAATGACCTCTATCATATGTTATTGAATTTTTGTCAAAAGGAAATCATTTAATCAATAACCATAACCCGAACAGTTCAGTTCCTACCCAGTTCTATCTTGAACACGATGATCAATGTTCATAAAAGGCCACGATCGATCACGGCGATCGTGATGCAATCGTCACGCGTCATGACCAATGTGACCATTATTCTTTGGCTCAAAATGGGACATTGGTTTGTATAGGTCAATTAATAAAAGAAATAGAAATAATCTTTATTCAAATAAACTCATTACAAGCACTTTTGATTAATCACATTTTGATTCTACCACTCATTCGGAACGCAGATGACGCACAAGAAGAGATAAACAAGAAACTTGTGTGTTGCTCTTTTGAATAGATTTTTTGTTATATAAATAATCAGATAATGTCAACACTATGGATTTTAATTTTAACAGATAGTTAATGAAAGCGCCAGCGCCAGCGCCATCTTGGGACTACATTTTGAGCTAAGCAGAGCTTGTGTTATGGGTACTAGACAACTGATATAAATACATGGATACATTTTTTTTGTAAATAAATACATATTATACTTAGAAAACGTCCAGACCGATACAAACAATCATACTCATGAATACAAATGTTTGTGCCGTGTAATATAAATGCAACTAAATATTTATCTTAATAATATTATAAATGCGAAAGTTTGTATGTATGTATGGATGGATGGATGTTTGTTATTATTTCATGCAAAAACTACTGAACGGATTTTCATGACACTTCATATTAATACAGCTTTATATATTAGAATAACACATAGGGTACAATTTAAAAAGATATTATGTAAATTGAGTAAAATATAATAAATGTCAAGTAAGTGTGATGCAGAAGAATTTACGCGAGAAAGCTTGTTTAGTTATTTATATTTATAGGAGAGAGAGACAAATTTACATTAAAGTAGCTGGTGAAGATTTTAATTAAGAATGAAACTCACAGCACGTTTTTTTATATTCATGTTCGATACAATTATCATCATCACAACCAGCCGGCTCCACTACTCAAATTTGAGAAAATTCGCGTGAATCACTCCACTGAAAATCAGCTTTTTTTTTAGACTACTCTAATGCTGTTGGCCGCAGCTGGCCTTTACAGCTTCACCGGACGTTAGGGGGCGAGTATAGATGGCACTCCAAACCCGCGGAAGGACTTATGGAGCGGCCAACTCCCGCGTGACGGATACGACTTTAGTCTGAGGGCACCACTAGGGGTTCGAACCTCGGCTCAGGCCATCGTAACATCGATCCGCGTTAAATTGGACTATCGGAGGGGCGACCAGCGATGAAAATCAGCGTCGTGGCTTTTGTCACGGTATAATGCTGAGATGGGGGCCCATCTCAGTATTCTACCCACGCATCAGTACACAGTGACGTGGTGACGATGCTCCACAGTGGTGGATATGCATTTTTTTGATTTGTTATTATTGTTTATATCTTATTGTTGATCCTAATAAATTAGTGCTGTCTGGTAGTTTGTATTCACACGTTTCGACTTGTAAATGTAAACTTACAAGGATTATTTAAAAGAGCAACACACAAGTTTCTTGCTCGTTCTTCTTGTGATGAGACAGCTTTCCGAATGATGGTAGATAATAAGAAAAATTGTTATGCCTATTCAAAAGTGCTTAAATTAAGTTTATTTGACTAATTTGAATTCTATTCTCTTTTGTATTGTTATTTCTATTTATATGATATAATAATTTATATGCTGCTGTGAGCATCACTACTGTTATTGTTGTGATTGTAATAAATATTAATCTATTCTATTTAATTTATTTCTGGGACACCGGGACAATCAATTATAAAAAAGGACTGTCCTGTTCAATACGGGACGTCTGGTCACATTAGTCATGACATGTCCAGATGGGTCCAATGACGCCCGTACCATTCATATGCCGGTTTCCCATTTGAGCCGGTATTTACAAATATTTATACTACTTTGATCTGCTGTGCTGAGTAATAAGAAGATTTTTTATATGTAACTAGGCGAAATTGACGGCCACCTGATGGATAGTGACAATAATCACTTATATCACGGTGTGAAGGATGGAGACCAAGATGACGAGCAAAAAGTAAAACGGCACCGTTATAGTTGTAGAATATTTTTGTATTGAATTGACTTATGTTATATAAAAACAATATAATAATTAAAAAAATATAGACAATATAAAGGTATATAAAATAGTTTCCAATACACGGATTTACATGAACATCACTACGGACATCACGTCATCATGTAAGCTTGTGACGCCTCTTATTAACGATGAGATTTTGGTGCCATACCTCGGCCTCGGTGGTCTAGTGGTTTAGCACACCGCTTTACAACCGATAGTCGCGGGTTCTATTCCTCGCAGGGTACAAACATTTGTATTCATGAGTATGATTGTTTTCTATGTATATTATATATGTATTTACAAAAAAATCTAAGTATTTGTTATTATTATTCTTCTGGAGGTCTAAGATGACATGGCTCTTATCCTGAAATTTCACAGACTTCTCCACCCTTCAAGCTAACAATTTAAAATGTGAGTTGCTTTGTGACTGATATACCCACTCAGATTACTTGTAGTAATTTAAAATGGATAAATATAACAATAGATGAAATTAATCTACTAATTTTAAATGTTCTCCATTTAAAAGAGATTCCATTCATAAGAAGAGAGTTATCTTCTTATATATAATATAAAAATGAATCGCTAAATGTGTTGGTAAGCGCTAATCTCGAGAACTACAGAACCGATTTCGATAATTCTTTTTTTAGAATATTCCTTGAATTACGAGGATGGTTCTTAGAGAGAGAAAAATTTTAAAAAATTGCCTAAAAATGCCTAAAAACAACACTTTTCTGTAATCCCATACAAACGATTCTTAATGATACTTAAAAGTCAATTTGAACTTTAATACCATACTATAAAGTTCAAGTGTAAATAGAGAGGTTCCGGGAAGGCATGTGTCATATTAGTCAAAAACAGGTGGTCAGTGGTAAAATGTCACTTGAAATGTACATGTCTCATTGATGTGCATATTTATAATATTACTACAAATCCCGGCGTCCTGAATAGCAGAATAAGTATTAAATAAACTAAAAAATTAAAGAATCGACTGTTAGGCGTTACGAAGTACGCCGGGTCAGCTAGTTGATAATAATCAAAATGTATGTACACAAGTTAATAAGTATAACATAATTAACCAATTTGTCAATTATAATGTAAATGCATATACATAAGTTCATAAATATAACATAATTAACCAATTTGTCAATTATAAACAATGTAAATGCATATACATAAGTTCATAAATATAACATAATTAACCAATTTGTCAATTATAAACAATGAAAATGCATATACATAAGTTCATAAATATAACATAATTAACCAATTTGTCAATTATAAACAATGTAAATGTATATACATAAGTTCACAAATATAACATAATTAACCAATTTGTCAATTATAAATATAATTGTTTGGATGCAGTAAACCAAAAAATTACTTACCTGAAAAAAGAGGCAGAAGCACACCCATTGGTAGTACTTGTAGATCTTTCTATCGCTCATATCCTCTTTGCCCTTCTCTCGGCTATTTCCGATGCCTGGATACGGCACCTCCACGCCAACTTTCTTGTTGAAGAAGCTCTTGAGCGTGTAAGTAGAATGGATCCAGCAATATGTGTTCAGCACGTCCTCGGGAATGTCTTTTGTGTGGATACAATCTATCGGGTTACCCACGTACTGTCTGGTCGTCACGATCAAACTGAACGATATCAGCAGAATAACTGTGATTGAATAATGCAACCTGAACACTGGCGAGTCAATATGTACATAGTTTACTTTTATAAGATTCTTTAAACCTCGAAAAACGTCTAACATTGTAAACGCTTGAGTCTTTTGTCCGTTTGTTTGCTCGGTACGATCACTAACATTATTTTCGTCATTTACTCTATTATTGTTTTAGAAGCACCAGTATTTTGTTTCACTATGTTCGTTAACTTAAGGCACTAGATTTTGGCAGTGGTATTTCATGTCACAAACGTCTCACGTTGGTGTAACTTCTTTGGTATTTTTATGAATTTGAGAAGTGAAAGCACTTGTGACATATTTTCTTCGTTTCATCCTTCGGTTTCGGTGTCTGCTCAGAGACGGTAATCGGGCATGTTTACGTATCGCGGCATGTAGTCATCGGGTCTGGGTTTAATGATTTCGTCGCTGTGTGCAGCTGGGCAACGTGTCTTCTGAGAATTAATGTAAACTTGATATTTGGGTCAGTTGGGAGTGAAATTTATGGGAGATTACGCGATTCGACCGGAGCACCTATTTAACGGTAACAATGTCACGAACAGGTTAATCACGTTGGATTATATGTATATATTTAAGCGAGCAGCGCAGGACCAATCGTCGTGGAGATCTTTGGGGGAGGCCTATGTCCAGCAGTGGACGTCTTCCGGACTGCGATGATGATGATTTAAACTTACTAATTCTATAGTATAAAATTTTAGCCAAATAATCGTGTTACAGCTAGATTCTCACCTTACCGTAGGTAAGTACATAGTTATTTAATTGACGCGAAATTTTTTTACCGTATACCCTCTAAATTTGTTGTCAAATTTTGATTTAATAATTTGAGTTGAATATTTATGTAAGGTACACAAATATTATTAATATGTATAAAGTATTATATTTTAATATATAGAGAAGCCAGTTGTGTGAATCTGTAAATTACATTACATTACATTATTTCCTTCTTTCAAGATTAGGTATAATAGTCTGAATGCAGTTTTCTTCAGCAAGTTAAAAATATTTACTTAATTCTCTTTTACACATGTAGTTATATTATAATCACAACTAATTCATACTTCTTCCTTGGATTTGGGCCCTATCGACGATCGTCAGGCCTATTCTGTCTGATTCCAGAAGAGTTATCTGCCAAGACTTAGAACCCTCAAAATTTTTATAAATCTAAAAGACTACCTAATCTGAACTAGGTATTCAACTAAAATACAACCCAAAAACGAACTAGGTTTTAGAATGGATACTAGAAATAGAGATGTTAATTGAATCAAAACATCATGGAAACATTAAAAGTCGTACGTAATCAAACAAATGGTGTTCACGAGTATGATTGAAATATTAAAAAAAGCGTATAGAAACGTTTATATGGCAGACGCAATATATCAGTTTCGTCGACAGGGGAATGTTATACGGCTTAACGCTTCTTTGAAAACTATTATAACCGTTGGAAATGAGTAATTTTTCTTATTCATCTTTCTAATTTACAACGATACTTACGCGATCGTAAACTATATGTGATTCTATTTGCATTTACGAGCAAAGCAAGTAATCTAGCAGACCTTGTTGCGAACTTTAATACGATTATAAACTAATTGTCTATGCTATTGGCGGGTCTAAAATACCATAAATAATGGATATGGAAGGGATAGTTTTTTAAATTGGAAAAATTATTTAATAGTTGATTTTATACTGTAATTGTCTATGGTATGGTGTGTCTATGGTGGTCTTGAACACCATACAGTGGATATGAAAGCTATAGATTTTTAGATTAAACAATTATTTAAAATTAATTTTATAAACTTATTGTTTATGGTATTGGCGGTTTGAGCACCATAAACAATGGATATGAAAGGTATCATTTAAAATTGATTTTACACTATAGACGTAAAGTGGATATGGATACTTCGTTATCTTATTAAGATTATAAACGCGATATGTATGGATATTGTGAGTATGTACGGATATATGGATGGATGGATCTTTGTTACTCTTTTACGCAAAAACTACTAAATTTAATGAAACTTTACAATAATACAGCTTATATATCAGAATAACACTGGCTATAAATTGTATGCGGATGAAAACGAAGGCATAGCTAATTGTAAACTTAATTTTATTTAAAATTTAATCCAAATAAATTTAGTCATTTAGGCATGAGATATCTTTAGAAACTTGTGTATTTATAATTTTATATATATAGCCTTTTCCTGGATTTTTTTTTCTAGTACTATTATTGACCGGTCTAGAATATAGCTTATTCTTTACTCTGTATGGTATATAAGTCTATGCCAAATAATGTTATAATTAATGAAGATATAAAAGCGTGACAAAAAACATACAATTTACATTTATAATATTAGCTCAGAAAAAAATATTAATAACCACTAAATAGATCCAATAATAATTGTACTATAAAATACCGACAATGTCGATAAAAAAGCAACTCTACGCCATACACAATACAGTGTAAATTCAGTAAGTAACAACTGTGAAGACATCGCTGTAAATTAGTAGTTTTAAAATTAGGCACGTTGTTTTAAAATTAGTGAATACAGAATGGCACGTCAAACAGAACTGACAGACCTTGGTACCGCGTAATGATATAACAGATAGACGTACATTTCTTGTTCTAAGAAATTTTCAGTGGATTCATTCATTATCTTGTTAGTCTGTTAGGTAATTTGAAGAAAATATCTTTACATACCACTTATTAGTGATACGGGTATTTCTTTGGCTACAAATAGGAAGGTGACATTATACATTTTTTATGGACAGGGATGAATGAAAGATAAAAATATATTATCATGAACATATAGATGAATAAGAATGATGTATATATAAAAATATATACATCATTCATCATCGACGTTCATCATCTGTTTCTTCCTTTGGAAGAAACAGAAGATGATTATACTTTTTTTTATATATTACGATGCTAGCAGACAAGCATACGGCGACCTAAGTAAAATATAAAATTATCATGTTTTATGTAACATATACATAAAACATGATAATTACTATTATATACTATTATAATAATATATACTATTATATATTATTATATATGTAAAAAGCTAAGTTATATATATATATATATATATATATACAATATCTTAGCTTTTTTTCAATAAATATATAGCAATACATTAATAGTAAAATAAATGAAAGACCGTAAATTAATTAAATAAAATGCTCTTGAATTCAAATCGTAATTTTACAATATACGCATTTTAACATAATAAACAATTTTCTTTCATTGTAATAAAAAAAATATCAATTAAAATCATAATATCTTTATTCATGTAATTAGATTCATTATAAATTCTTATTATATGTTTACTCGTAATATAACAAAAATATCAAGTATAATATAGAGCAATTAGGTAATTGAGAATATAAAAATAAAAAATATTTATAATCTGTAGACTCGATAAAAAAACCGGCAAAAAAGTATAATAAATTTCGATATCGTGACGTCACCGTTGCCGCCAAAATGTTCATTCAACCGACGGACTATATCAAAATGGAGACTATAGAAATATGCAAAAATAAAAAGCAGTATATTTGTATGATATAATATCACGCTTGAATGGAGAAAATGGGAAATTGGAAGTTCGATATTTGAATATTACATTACATTTTTAAAAACTAAACGAAATATATGATGTGGACTTTATTTTTGACTATTTTTTTTTCCCTCATATTCGTCCATCTTTGTTTTCAATTATGGAACAGGCAAAGATGCTTAGACCGTACAGCCTAATTATTTTGACAAGACGGGACGCATAAATATTTTTTTTTTCAAATACCCGCATTGGAAAATAGTCTAATGATGAACCAACGTTCCGTATAGATATAAACAGCTCTCCAGCGGTTTGGCTGTTTTCTTTACTTTACCTCCGAAGGTCGCGGGTTCGATCCATTGCACGATTCGAAAATTTGTATTCGTATGACAGAAATGTTTCTCTGTTTAGCTTATAACTAGATGGCGCTGTGTGAATTGTCCTGGGTTATTATTATTATTATTAATGGCAAATAAGCTGATGGCCTATCAGAAAGCAAGTTTATACACTATGTGATACCAGTGGCACGCCTCCTTAGTTCACATTCCAGAATACTCAATAATAAAAATATGTCAGGACAATTCACACAGCGCCATCTAGCCACAAACTAAGCAAAGCTTGTATTATAGGTACTAGACAACTGATATACATTTTTTTTTGTAAATACATATACATTATAAATAGAAAACGCACAGACCGATACAAACAAGCATAGTCATGCATAAAAATTATTGTACCGCGCGAGGAATTGAACCCATGACCAACGCCGTACTAAATATTGTTTATATTGTATCAACATCTATTCAAATAGGTATTAAGCCTGCAGTGGTATACAGGAACACAGCATAACAATATGTTTAATCCACATTATTAACGGATTGCGAACTTGACTTTCGTAAAACAAAAAGTTTGAGACTGTCATTAGGGTTGCCTACAAAATCAGAAATAAATCTGAAACAATTATTTTTTAATTAATATAACAATAATCTAAGGTCATATCACACAGCGCCATCTAGACTCAAGTTAAGCTGGCTAAAGCTTAGGTACTAGATAATCGATACAAATACATAGATACATTTTTTTCGTAAATATTTACATACATAGAAAACACCCAGACCGATACAAACAATGATACTCCTGAATACAAATGAGGAATCGAACCTGCGACCATCGGAAATAAGACGGTGTGCTAGATCGCTAGACCACCGAGGCCGTTAAATATACTTTTTTTTCGGACTACTCTAATGCTGTTGGCGGCAGCTGGCCGTTACAGCTTCACCGAATGGTAGGGGGAGAGTACAGATGGCACTCCGACCCCGCGGAAGGACTTACGGACCGGCTGAAGGCCAACTCTCGCCTGACGGATACGACTTTAGTCCGAGGGCACCACTAGGGGTCAAAATCCTCATATATGAAGAACACGACTTGAGGAGGATATAAGCGATGGTTACCGCTTACCGTCAGTTGGGTTGTCAGCTTGTTGATCGTTACATAAAGAAATGTTTATCATTTTTAATTTCAATTTATTTGACAACCCTAGTTCTAGCTCTACTAAGTACGACACAACAGCAATATGTTACTGCGAAACTTGTATTTTGTTATTTATTTACTCATGTTGGAATGTACATGTAGCAAAAAATTGTGTGCACCGAGCTTCGTGGCCTATTAATTTACTGCCCCGACAAGAACAATGTTCATCATAGATCGAAAGACCGAATTTGGTGCTTGAAAAGTATTGTCACAATCAAAATTTCATAATCCCCTTCACTCCGGTGGGGGAAAGGGGATTGTTAGTAATGGGAACTAGTAATCCCCATTGCTAGCAATGTACCATGTTAGGTCAACCTCCACGCGGGGGGGGCTCCATTCCATTACCATCC